GCCTGGCTCCCCGTCGGCTGGCTCCGGGGCCGTGGGGACAGTGGCCGCCCAAGTTCCAGCCTCCTCAGGAGGTGCCACGGGAAGAAGGCGTGCGGGGGGCAGGACGGGGCGGCCAGCGCCACGCTGCCTCCCCAGCCTGGGCCTGCTGCTCTTGCTCGAGCCACGGCCTGTGCCACTGGCGACGCCGGGCGCGGCCTGGCGGGTGCGGGCAGACCTGACTCCGCCTTTGAAAGGGTGAGCTGCTCTGACACGTCGGGCCAGGAATCTGCTGGCAACAGGGACACTGGGCGCGGACGGTGGCCACTCCGGGCACTCGCCACAGGGCAGGCCCGGGCCTCGGGCCCGGCTGACTGGGGACCGGCCGGCTCGCTCATCCCCAGGAGGCCCAGCTGGCCGCCCGTCCCGTCCCCGGTCAACAAAGGCGCGTTTCTCGAGCCCCAGGCCCCAAAAGGGGCCTCATGGGGTTCATGAGCTCAGCGCTGGGCTGCCGAGGAGGTGGGGTGTTCCCCAGCTGCGGGCGCAGGCTCCGTCGGGGAAGCAGGCTCGCAGAGCTGCTTAGGACATCTGGCAAAGGAAAAGGCCCAGAAACCTCAGGCCTGCAGCGGCCCGCCCGCCCCCCGCTCCGGGGCTGTGGCCAGGGCTGGGGCCCGCCAGGTGCAGGCGGCAGGACCCACCTAGTCCGGCAGGGGGTTGGGGCTCAGCGGGGGCGCTGGGCCTGGCGGGCCGGACGCCAGGGCAGGGCAGGAGGCCCCCAAGGCCGCCCTCACTGTTTGCGCCCCTGCTCACGGCCGCGCTCGGCCTCCTCCAGCTGCTTCCCATCGCCGCTTCACGTCAGCGGCGCGTTACTCACGGCCAGCGGGCGCCCTGGAAAACGTAGGCAGAGGCCCCGCGCCCCCTCCCCACCCCGGCTCTGTGGGGCCTCACTGCCCCACCGCCCAGGGGCCGCGCCAACCCCACCAGCCGGGTGGTCTGCAGGGACCCAGAGGAGGCCGGCCCGGGGGCCGCAGCGCCACCTGCTGGGGACGCGGCGCAGGTCGCCCGCCAGAGTTAGGGCCGCTCTGGCCAAGACCGGCGGGCGGGCAGTCCCTGTCCGACTGGGCCCGTGCATGTCCGGCACTCCGAGAGAAAATCCCTCGTGCCCTCTGCGGCCAACCCCAGGCCCACACGGGTGCAACGGTTTTGAGGGCTGCAGGGTTTCACGGGCCGAGACTCGTGTCCGCGGTCTTCTGGGGTCGGGCCGTGTGCCCCACCGGCCCCCCTCGGTATGTCCGGGTGGCTTCTCCTCACAGGTGCGCGCTAAGACTGGCATCTGTCTCCGCGCCTGCGGCTCGGCACACGCCACGGGACAGTCACGCCCCTGCGGAGTGTCTGGTCCTTCTCCAGCCTTTGACTGCAGCCACCTCGGTGGCCGTACTGTGGCTTCCTGTGGGCTGTAAGCCCACTTGATAACGCAGATGATTCTGCGAGTTCTAATCTTACCTTAAAATCATTAAAATAGTACGTGGCACTCACTGCCGTGTCACTTCAGAACATTTTCACCACTCCAAAGAGAAGCCTGGGGGTGCACGGAGGTGGTCGGGCTACTCACGCCGCCGGCCTCTGTGGCCATCACCGGCGGCCCTGCTCGTGGTGACGTGGACAGCGTGTGGGCGTGGTGCCCAGGGACACCTGAGCGTGGGGGTGAGCACGCCTGCGCCCGGGAGGGACGGGCTACGGGGGGCGTCCCCCCGAGGGGCTGCGTAGCTGCCTGCCCGCTGGGTGCTCCCGCTCACCGCCAGCCCTGCGAGGACGACGCCGGGGACTCCAAAGCGCTGCTTGCGTTTGCTAGAACTGGCGGCGGCAAAGCTAGCCCTCGCCCCCGCCTCCCGAGGGCACAGGCCCGCGGCTGCTTCTGTGGCTCTGCCACTTCTCAAGCCCAGAGGGGGTCGCAGGCACTGGCCTCCGCGTCCGGCTTCCGCCCCCAGCCGAGGTCTCCAAGGGCCAGCTCCTCTTCGTGGCTGCATAGTACTCCGCCGCGGGCCACACGCGCGGTCTTGCTCCGCCCAGTGTGGGTCTCCAGGCTGCGCCTGCTGCTCGGCTGTGTGCATAGCGCTGCTCTGAGCTTCGTGGGCCTGTTCTCACGGGGATGCGCTTCCCCGCCGCAGGCAGGCCCTCGGGTGGCCCCGCTCCGCCACACCAGTGGCAACTGCCTCCTCCTCAGACGCGGGGCGCGCCCTCAGCCGGGCGGCCGGTGGCCCCCGCACTTCCGCCCGGCGGGGCGGGCTAGCCCATGCCAGGGTTCCCCGAGGATGTGGCCTTTCCACACTCACGCTGGAGAGCTCCGTGCCCCCGCCCGGGAGCCACGTCGGCACAGCCCAGTGTGTCGCCGATGCCGACGCGCAGCAGCTTCTCGCGCGATCTGCGCGCGTGGGTGAGCTCGTCTTTGGTGGGCTTGGCCCTGGGAGCGCCTGGCGGGCGGCCCGCTCCCGGACAGTATTTGCGCTAGCTTTAGGCGCCTTATGGACACCCCGCTGGCAAAACTAATCGAAATCACTTATTTTTTCTACAGGGGATTTCCCTTACTTTGAATGAATTGAAATTCTGGTATTCATTTAAAAAATATTTATGCACGCAAGATCTGGGGTACAGGCCCGAGGTGCAGGGGTGAGAGGAGTCCCCAGAGACAGAGCGGGGAGCAGAATAGGCCGATCCACTGAGAGACACTGCTGAGGGGGCAGCAGGGAGGCAGGAGGGGCCCGCTGCACCCTGGGGTCCCTCCCTGGCCGGGGACCCACCATGCCGCAGGGGCTGTGGACAGCCTCACAGTGCTGAGACTTAACGCTGGGCCACCAGGGTCTTCCACAGACGTGTTTCCTAATAAGACCAACTGCCCAGGACAGCGGACGCCCCACTACTTGAGAAAAGGGTGGGGGGACGAAGAAGGGAGCAGCAAGCAGGACAGAGGAGGGAGCCCAGTCCCGGAGAGGTGAGGCGCCCCCCCC